GTTTTTATTAATGTTATGTGTAAGTGCTTAATATAAATAATTTTAGATATTTCCCAAAATTTATATAGGGTCACTCCTTGAAATTCACAATTTTAAAATATTTTTTCACTTACCTTTAACATTCTGGGAAAACGAAATATGGCATTAAAACCATATATAATGTACAACAAGTCTAGGGGGAGCAGTGACAGCAGATCCATCTATAACAGACAGGCCAAATTTGACTTATTAAACTTGTTCTTTTTTGACCATCCATTGTATCTACATGTTTAAAATATTAAGATTTGTTTTTAAAGCAATGAAATCTATACTTTCTTCTAACTGTTCTAGATGACACTCAGTTGTTCAAAGAGCTGAATGGCAGTAATATGTCTGAAAGATAATTTAGATAAACATGAAACATAGTAATTTTAAGTCTAAATGTTATCAAATAATTAAGATGTTTTGAAAAAGTTTCAAACATGTTTAAAATCAATTTTAAAATAATAACATACTCCACTTCTTACTATATAAATTTTACAAATATGACTTTTTAGCTATCACCAAATATTAGCAGAAATACACTTATTAAAACTTAGAAATCTCTACAAATACATTAGTATAAACATAATGCACATTGTAACATGAAACCTACATGCTCATACTCAATAGAAAACTTAAGATGACCAGTTTATTTTTTCATAATCTCAAGTTCTATAAAATTTCCTAAGTTCAGCTATCAAACACTTTTATCTGAAAAGTATTTATCTTATTGAAGGTTTTTTTGTTTATACACATACCCTTCTTTTTTCTATCAATAGTTTTTGAGGCAATCTAGTTTCAGGTTAGGTTTGTTTTTTAAATTTTTTCACCTTAATGTATGTGCACTAACAGAGTACATAATATATGGGATATAAAGCATTTCCTACCTTCTATAATGATGCACAAATTTTTAGAATTTTTGATTACTTAGTTTCCACAGTGTCGAGGTGGCATTGCATGGCTCAGTTAGTTGTTAACATTATCTTATTCTAGATTCTTTGTTCTGTTGGACAAAGAAAGCAAGTTCACATTCTAGGTTTGATCATGCTTTATTTGTTCAGTTCTCTACTAGACAAGCTACAGGAAAAGAACTAAATGCAATCTGGTGGAAGAAGGATTGTCCACTCATCATTGTATGTACACGTGCTGTGTTTTCTGCTTTGTTTTAATTGTGTAATAAAGATTTTGTACATTCTTAAAAATTGTACAGACTCTGATTCCACATCTAAAAGGGAAAACTCAGTTAAATTATCTCTCAGAAACTCTCAGAAATTTCTAGGAAGACTTGCTGTTATCTACAGATTAATATGCCAACCACTTATCAGAAAATAAGGTTCCCTGAGAATACCACAAGTACACACTAAGTTACTGTCATACATATATATAGTAGTGCTTTGGATAACACTCTCCCTGTCAATGATCTACCTGGGCTAATGAGAAATATAACTCAAGAATGCAGTTGTCAGCTTATCAGGTCCAGAAGTTCTTATTCAATATCAGCATCTCACTTTATACCATAGTCAGGTAATGAAATCTCCAATATTATGTTATGTATCTGCTTGTTTGTTAATTTCTGGTATAAATTCTTTCCGAGGAACGTCAGCGACACAAGTCCTTTCTTAATTAAAACTAGTTTATTCTTTCTCGATACAACTTTGTGATACACAGAATTTCCACAGTCACTTTAAACTTAATAACCTTTATAACACACGCTATAAATCACAGTAATTCACACACATACTTACGGTGCCTACTGTTCGCTTGACTCAATTATCTGTCTCTTTGATCTATCTATATCTCTTCAATTTATGCCGATCTCTTTAATCTATCTGCATATCTATATCTCACTGGCTTTATCTGCCGTGCTTATATACTAAAAAAGAGGGTGAGTCAAACAAACTAGAGTTGCCAGGAAAATTCATTATCCTTCTAGAAACTCTAGATATAGAGTAGTCT